TCCAAGAGACTTCTTCAGTCTGAGAGTTTCAGGCAAAATTCAGGCTTTTAAGCACTGCCTCCATGTGACTGATACTCACATAACATGGTGGCTATCGTTGACACCTAATTAACACCAATTGTAAACAGGGGGTGGAGTGATACTGGCAATAGCAGCACTGTAGGAGGGGGACAACTGATAGGTGTCAATTAGATGTCAATAGGTGTTAATTAGGTGTCAACGATAGCCATGTTATGTGAGTATCAGTCACATGGAGGCAGTGCTTAAAAGCCTGAATTTTGCCTGAAACTCTCAGACTGAAGAAGTCTCTTGGAGGAGACGAAACGTTTCATTAGAGAAGAATCCGTCCAGAAGACCTATACAATTTTTTTTTCTTTTTGATAAGGCAGTATAGTGTCGGCGCTAGCACAAAGACTAACAGGCTAAGCTGAGGTTCTTCTTCCATGAAGCAGCTCTGTTGTCCTCCATCCATATTTTCAGTTGTAGACTGAGTTGTTTCTACCTTCTCTTCTCTTCTCTGTCAACGCTCTCTGATTTAATTTAAAAGAGTCGATCGTCAGATATTGTCCAAGATTAAACTTCAGGGTGGATATAGCTCGCTCACACCGAGGACCTATCCACGTCATCATTTACTCAGAATGCTTTGCATGTAAATAAAATGGCTCCGTCCGTGTTGTGGAAAATGGGGAACAAATAGAGGAGAGCAAGAATCAGTGAAAGTYAGAGATGGATCAGGAATAAAAATGTGAAGCGTTTTATGCAAGATTCTTTGCATGAGTTCAAGTAACTATATTTAGAAAACCRCATAATTATTATTATTGTTGGAAAAAGTTTTATATGGGCTATAAATTAGGAAAACTGTGATAGACCAGTAGAGCTGGTTAGAGCATAAAAACATGACAGTTTCACTCTGCCACGATTGCCAGAGGCTTCTCTAAGTTGCTGACACGGTACATTACTTCTCCTATTCAGTGCAAGGCCGTACAGCATGTGTGTTCTTGAATCTGTGAAATAGCTCCAACTGATTTCTTTCAAACCTTTTTTTTTCTTCACAGATGGGATTTGAAAAAATAAATTTTGTTAACAAAAGGTCTTCAGAAGCCTTCCAGTCGACCTTCCAACTTAAAAATGATTGATGGAGAAAAAAGGCAACGTGATGCCTGAACGGTATTTTCTGCTTTTGAGTGCTTTTATCTACATACATACAGATTTTGTCTATGTTAGTTAAATAAAACAAACATGAGAAGGATTAATACCTATTTTTCTCTTTTTATTTCTGTGTGCCTGTGCCTGCAGAAGGAAACCAAGGGTAATTACAGCGTGCAGTGGCCACACCCTTTAAAACGTCTTCAGTGATATCCTTGTTGAAAGAGCCTATTAATCATGAGATAACCATAAAATGTATATTTATGTAAATATATATAGAAAGAGATCATAGATTTGAGTTTCATGGATGTGGTGTATGTATTTAATTTGGAAATGTGCTGTTACTCTGTATAACAATGTTTTTTTTTTTTTTTTGGTAGGTTAAGTGTGAGTTTGAGTGTGTATTTGTTTGCACACAGAAATCCAGTTCTTGCAGCCAGTAAGACACATTACCCTCTTGTGAAAATGCAGTGTTATTTGCAGTGAAATGTTACTTGCAGTAATTTATAGGATGCATGAATTTCCTTCACTGTCTAATGTGTCTTCCTGTCTGCAGAAGAAGAAAAAACTCCCATTGTAGCATTAAGATTTGAACATCCAAACTTGAAAGTTAAAGCAGATTTTATTTTTTATCATAAATGCTTGTTGAGGTTGAGATAATAGCTTTTTGCATTATTATTATGTATTTTTTTTTATTAAAAACTCAGCATAAACTCATTTCATAATAGAAAAAAGTGCTACATTTTTATAGCTGAATATAGTTTTAATTCAGTGAAAGAGCAGCAAATATCTGTTGGCAGAAGTACCTAACAATTAAAACACAGCAACACACACACACACACACACACACACACACAC